GTAGAAATCCGTAAATTTGGATATCACAGATGTGCGAAAAAGGGCCGTTCATCTACTCCCATATGAATAGGGGAATTCGGCAGACAGCAGTCTGAGGATTTTGGGGAGCGGCCATTCCAGTGAGGATTTGTCTATAAGGGCTAATCTTTGTCCAACGAAGAGTGAAATGCGGTACGACCTCGAATTTTTTTGCGAGTTGGCGTTCATCGGAACGACTTCCGAAGTCTTCACAGCAGACTAAATGCGCATTTCCAAGCTTACTAGGCAACCACGCCAATGTCGCTTAGTGGACCCTAGTTGACATGTGTTTCAGTTTTATCTGTATATTTAAGAAGACAGAAATCAATAAACTAGCAGCCAGCATTTGCGAGAGCTCTGAAGACTAACAATTGTGAAGGCTGCAACTGGTACAATAACTGACGTACAAACCTTCCCAAGACAAATGAGTTATGCATATCTAACAGGCGTCGGTATACAAGTTATCGTCTTGAATATGCCTGGGGCACCAAAGTCAATCCGAAAAGTCGTCATAATAAGACCAGAGGAAGGAGAAAATCACACTGAGATTGATTTAGTGTGCTAGAAACATCAAACGGTACAATGTACCAAGAATATAACGAAACAGTCAACGAGCCCAACGATTCGTACCGATGATTTTATTTTTAAGTTTTGATAAACATCTTATTTACCATATCCTCTGCTTCCCTACAACGCCCACAATGTAGTCAGTGTGCGAAAAGCATGTTCGTCTTTACTTATCATCCGGCCCGGTGTTGTAGGCTGAAGGCGTTAAGACTACCATCTTCCATCACAAGTGGTCGGCGGTATGACCGTGGAAAGAAGTCGAGCCAGCTGGCACGCCAGCCAAAGGCAAAGAAATTCTCATCACGTCTTACCATGTCCTCAATTTAACGCCGTCGCTTGTCAAGGCAGAGTTTTGATGTACGCACCTCACGACCGACTTTGTCTCTAGGTTGGCGCAGAACATGACAGAACCCCTCCAGTATGCGAGAGTACAGTGAGTAGATTGCAGTGGTTGGAAACTAAATCAGAGAGCCTAATTCAGAGACTGAAGTTCGATAAACATTGGCCGAAGACTTCCAGGCATGGCGATATTTCACGCCGACAGAGGATTGTTTAGACGGGAGCCTTGTAAACTCTTGATTTTGCCTCCAGACTCACCTCGTGTCAAATGTTTTTGTAGAGGCAGATGAAGTTGGCGAGTGCATAGTCCATCTGATGATCGATATGATTTTTAGCATGGCCGTTCAGCAGAGGACCCGACATATGGTGGCAATGGCTGCCCCATCACCTCAGGAGCTTCATCTTCATACGCGACCGAACGCATACTTTGACTACAAAACTCGAGACAATTATCAATTTTTGGGAGTCAGCTTTCGTTTTAGTTCGTCTGGCTCATGACTGCAGCGACGTCAACTCGTACAGGGATTCGGAAATATGTACCGCAATCTCATCAGTTTAGTAAGACCAGTCACACACGGACCTACTACATGCTTTGAGTGAACAACGTTGGTGAGGGAGCGTGGCTCTGCTGGATGGTAAGATTGACATCCAAGTAATCACACTGATTCCCAGTTACACGAACCTTGATTCTTGTTCTGTGGTAGTAAACTTGAAACATTCAAAGTAGTTTCGGTGGTATACCGCCAACGAATGCTGACGGACAGAACGAAATGCAGAGGAAGGGACGACGAGAAAAGGGTCGGTTAGTGGTAACATTAGCGCATTCAAAAGGAGGTTCCGGCCAGGAAGTCCGCACATCAGGCAAAAACCGCACCAATTCTGGTCAGCGCGTCGCGGCACAAACAAAGGTTATTGAGGACGACCACGATGAATCTAGATGGAGGGAGGTGCCAAGGTGGTCCTTACTCAGTTATATGCCGCCTTCTCTGATGCTTAGCCAAACGTAATCGTCGCTGCAATCCGTAGATGCAGTTTCTGTTTTCAAAAAAATAAGTGCCCGAAAATAGTCCGCACAATGTGATCGCTTAACAACTACCGGACATCTTTAAGTTGAATAACGAATCCTACGGGGTTCAGGACTCATCCAGATGCCGTCTTAAGCGGCCTTTTGGGTTTGACAGAGAGCTGACTACGGCACATCGACTATATCGGTTTGTTGAGCCGTGGGATTGATAGCCGTTACAAAACTGATTGATGGTGGTTTAGGTAGTGAAAAGTAGTCTCATGATAGAGTAACCGTATGTTCTGTTCGATAGCACAATCAGTTAGTTCTCATCTTTGTGGCGAAGTCTACCATGGGCCAGGAGTCGCCGCTTGAAGGTGAGCGGTCATCACTGCTAAGGTTTTCTGGAGTGGAAGTAGTAAAGTAGCAAATAATGATCTTGGTTGGGTAGAGTCTTAGCGTTTTGTTTTCGAGGGAGGGTAGAAGCAAAATTTCATAAGTTCGCATTTTAGCTTGGTGTTGACATCTTGAATGACACTACCAAGTGAGTATTGGGAGCATTTTTTTAGCATTACTAGCTGGTATGCGGCCACACACGTTTCCGTTTGTGTACGGCGAACGTACGTTAACAGCATGTAGCATTGGGCAAGCTTGCATTCTCGAACGGACGGTTGTCTTTTTGCGATTTTCTTGGCATTGAGCATATTGTGGAAGACGTGCAGCGACACAATCATTGACTTTTCTCGTAGAGCAACTGAGGAACCTACCGCGTTAGTCTTCGCCGGCTTTGCCGCAGGTGGATAGACGCCCGGGCTAGATGCATGCAAAAATAACTGCTACAGGGAAGTTGCCTACATCAAGGCTTCTTCGCAGGCATAGCGGTGGTCTGCTGTCCATAGGCTGAGCTAATGACCAATTGGTCATCAGTACACAAATGCGATGTATATTACACCTGTGTACTCAAATCCATAAACAACTCAACAGCACGCGCCAAACCGCGCTTTCAGATATATATGGTGTGTACGAATAGCATATCCTAACTTTGTTAGCACACCTGGTTGCCAGACCAGTTGAAAAAATCATCTAAGCAAATGGTGCTTAAGGCTGACAGGGCTAGCGTTATAATGATAGGGGAGGTTTAAAGTTTCCAAACAAGGCGTCAAATAAAGCTTAAATCTGTCCTCGGAAAATTTTAATAATGTCTTTTAAAGGGTAAAAAATCGGCAAAACTTACCCGTCACGCTGTTCTGAAAATCTGCAAGTCGTATTTTGTCCTCTCCGTGAAATATTCGCCTTAGTAAAACAAAAATTACAGTTCATGCGTCAGCTTGAATGCAATTGCTAGTCTTTTTTATCTTCCATCACTTGTTAAGAATTGCTGTTATTAATAGTACTACGCGAATTCATATAAATGCATCTTTCCATAATGTTTGGAGAGGAAGTTGAATGGCGTTAGAGAAGGAATAGTATCAGATAATACTTTCTTCGTAGAACATAGAAGTTCTTTTGAATCACCAATTACAAGATTCATTTGTCAAATGATTAACTCAAACAAGCTAATTTATCAAGGGACACGTTTGTGGAAATGCAGGCGTAAAGCATTGGATAGAGACATATGCGGCCAGGGCGCAGTCGCTTCATGACTTATCTTGATGGTGTGTGGAAATGCCTCTCTAAATTTACGAGCCAGCCAGAGTTTACAGTCACACGCTTACTCCTCGACACATCGTACATTTAAGGTCTCAAAATAGGATGTTATCTATCTGATAGAACGAATGCTGGCAATGGTACTTTTGACACCACAAGACAGCGCGAGCTCGACTGGATCGTTTGGTATAAAACTAAACTCCCCTATTTGATTGCCCATCTATTCTCGCCAAGAACCAGCTTAGTATTCCACACTAAAATGCCCGCAATTAACGCATGCTCCAGGATGTGCTGAACTCAACCAATGAACATAGAATCTCGTCGGTTACTAAACGGACAATGCGCAGCAAAATCATGATATGCCCGGGTTTAATAAACAGTACACCAATAAATTTCATTTATTTTATCGTCCAACTGGCGTAATACTTCGAGATCTGTGATTTATAAATAAATGGCCTATGGAACTTCTTCCTGTTCTCTCCCTCTGTACATGCATGCATGCGTTTTGGAACTGTACTGACTAAACGAGTCCGAGGCTTTTTATGCAAAGAAGAATAAAAGACCACCGGTGTATTGACTGCACTGGTCTGAGCTGCTGGATCCATAGATGATCAATCGCTTAAGGTTATGAAGGACAATTACGCATGAATAGACTTGCTTTGTCATGTGACGAGGCAAGACACGGAACCGGATGACCTTGGATGGAATTCGAATCAAGCTGTCTGGTCGGTCGTATTTTCCTTTTGTTTTGGCCCTGTGCGTCCATGGCAGGGAGCTGGATCGCGACATCTGACCGTGTGCATAAAGAATGATAGCCGGGTGTATATGAATGTTCCCGTTTACGGCTTTTCTGTAGGAGACCCAAGCGTATTGCGCCTCCTAAAGTGTATTATTCCCAACCGGCGGCAATTCTCCTCCGCCGCTGTCTGATCTCTATCCTTCCTTTAGTGGGTGGGGAAGAATTTGGGACAAATGGTCACTGCTCCAACCAACCAACTTTTATTCACGCATTCATGAAATGTTCCCAGGATAGACTCCATAGTGGAAAAAACAATTGTGGCGTAGAATCTGATGGTCAACGCTTGATTACTTGTCTTCGTCGAGTTGATAACTCATTTGATTGACCTTTGCGCAAGCGACAGATGCTGACCGATGAGTAAAACTTACACTTTCCTCCGCGGCAATGTGGTTTGCCACCTTTGATGCATCACTTATATCCTATGTTCAATTCCAAAGAGTTAGCCGCTCCCTCCTTTTTTGTCTCCCATGCATACCTTCCGAAGCAGCAGATAACAAATTTTACTAGGGAGCTGTACCAGACTAAGTGCTTATGTAGCTACTTTCTTTTCTGTATTCGCCTTTATCGGTCGCTGAATTGCGTCTTTACCGTTTGACCGATATGTCGCTCCGTGTTGTTTGCGGTCAGATGCAGATTTCCGCTGTACTCGCAGGCCAAGCTAAGAACATTCTCCAGCGGTTTCCTTCAGTGTCCCATGAAGATTTGGATCGTTGCACACACACTCACGCCTTGCTGCATCTTTCTTCCAAAAGTCATCCAGTCTTCCATCCAAAGCGACCAGTCCCATATGCGGCCCTACAACTTGTCGAGGCTGTACCGAGGCGTCTGGAGGAATTGGGAGTTCTAGTTCCTATATCCTACTGCGCCTGGGCCGCTCCATTCGTTGTGGTTAAGAAGCCCAATGACTCGATTCGCATTTGTGCTGACTTCTCCACCGGTCGAAATGCCGCGCTGACGCCGAACTGCTTTCCACTGCCGGCTCCGGCTGATCATTCCACCCTGCTGAATGGTGGCACATACTTTGCCAAGTTGGAGCTCGCTGATGCGTATTCGCAGATCAAGGTCGCCTTAGAGTTGCGCGAATTGTTGACCATAAACACTCACCGCGGTCTGCTTCAATATACCAGGCTGCCCTTTGGCAATTCCAACAAACAATGAACGCAATGCTCTCCGGCATCCCTGGCACAGCTGGGCACCTGGACGACATCATCATCGTGGGTCGCTCCCCTGCCGAGCTGCAAGACCGAGTGTGCGCAGTGCTCGAACATGTACAGGAATATGGCTTCCGCCTGCGAGCCGACAAGTGCCAATTGTTCAGGAGAAGGAGAAGAAGAAAAGATCGCTGGAACAAGGGCTTTATTTGCCGGACGTTTTGGATTATCACTTGAATCCATTATCAGAGACAGTAGCAGAAAAGGGTGACTCGTGCATAGAAAATTGCAGTATTTATAGGCTGCAGTCGCTATGCTACCGCATACCTACAGCAATTAACCGCGCTCCCCTTCATCCAGGATTGTTGCCCGCTAGTGCGCTAATTGCTTGATGGCCGGCATGCAAGTTATTAATCGCTGAAATCTCATCACCCGTGTTGGATCCTGGCGTGATAATTGCTCGGTCATCTGGCTCCTCAGCTTGCGCGCTCCTCGAGTGGTCAATTACTTTGGTCAGTCTATGCCTCAGCACGGAATATGGAGTGGGGATGTCGTTGCACTTGTTGATAGACTGAGATCCCCTGAACCATGACTCAAGTAACTCGCGGCTCACACGATCATCCACTCTCGTGAGAATTTCGGCCTCATCGAACTTGAATGTGTGGTCGGGTCTCGTCGAATGGGCCGCGACCTGAGAGTTAGCGTCATTTCTCCGTACCGCTGCCGCGTGTTCGGCAATTCGCGTTCGCAGCGGTCTTTCAGTTTCTCCGACGTAGTTGTTTTTTTCGCAACTGCACCAGATCCAAGAAACGACTCCAGCCGTTTCTTGCCGTGGCATTGGGTCTTCTGTCCTCATCAGCTGACCCCTTGTGGTGGCCTCCGGTCTGTGTACAACTCCAACCCCAAGTGTTGCAAGAAAGCGACTAAAGGCCTCGGAGACGTTCTTGATGTACCGGATCGCACGCCAGAATTTGTGGTCGGCGCAATTTTATCGCTCGTCTCGTTTACGCATTCACATGTTAATTGCTATATGTATGCGGTTGCATATCGACTGCGTCCTATAAATACTGCAACTTCCAGTGCACGAGTCACCCTTTTCCGCCTCTGTCTCTGATTATGGTTTCAAGTGAAAACCCGAAACGCCAGGCGAATAAAGACCTTGTTCCAGCGATCGCTTCTGCTTCTGATCAACTAGTTCCTGGAACTCACATCTTCGCTTTTATAGGCATGTTTTGGTTACACTGGCAGGCGAAATATTCACTCAGAGCCAGTAAGGCCGCCCTCAGCTAGTTCGTGGAACTCGCATCTTCGCTTTTATTTCCAATGCTTCCTGGAATCCATCAAGTCCCTCGGATTCCTTTTTGACTTCACCGGTCCCCATCCAGATCCTGAAAACATTCGGGCCATCCAACGGATGCCTGCATCCAAGAATGTATCGTAACTTCGTTCATTCCTTCGCCTGATCAGTTACTATAGCGCCTTCCTACCATCGCTGCGTGACGTACGGACCCCGCTCAACCGTCTGCTGCAGGAGGATGCTCCCTGGTGCTGGTCCTCCAGCTGACAAAAGGCCTTCGCCCAGCTAAAATCAATACTGAGTTCAGATCTGTTGCTCACGCATTACGACCCGACGCTGCCGATCGTTGTTTTTGGCGATGCTTCCAACCGCGGTGTCGGTGTCGTCATCTCGTATACTTTGCGTGATGGGTCTGAAAAAACGATCATGCATGCATATCGCACGCTTACCCCGGTGGCTTATAACTACGGCAGATAGAGTAGGAGGATGTTGCCCTCGTATTTGCCGTCAAGAAGCTCCACGAACTGTTGTACGGTCGCCACTTCACGTTGTTGACTGATCACAAACCACTGCTGTCAATCTTCGGTTTGAAGAAGGGCATTCTCCTCTACTCAACCGTCCTACTTGGCTACGATTTCGACATTCGCTACAGTCGCACTACAGACTTTGGTCAGACTGACGCCCTTTGTCACCTCATCAACAATCAGCAGTAACCTGAGGAAGATACCGTGATTGCCGCCATTTCTATTGACGGCGATGCGCACCGTCAGTTATCTGTCGACATACGAGGTAACCCCGTCACTTCCGCGGACATCCGACATGCTACTGAGTAGGATCCTGTCCTCCATCAGGCCATCATCTACGTGCAGGCCTGCAGGCCAACCACTGATCTCGCTGGTGATCTTCGCCAACTCTTCCTCCGCCGAGCATCGCTATGTGTGGTTTACTCCTGCCCCATGGTTGAGGACCTTGCGGTGATGCCATCTTCCCTCTGACCCACCGTACTACGCCAGTTCCATGCCGCTCATCCTAGTACCAGGCGAATGAAGTCGATTGCTCGCAGTTGTGATTACTAGCCGGGTTTCGCCGGCGACATCGACGACCTGGTTGGACGCTGTTCTCGATGTCAGTAAGCTGCCAAGATGCCGCCTCGTCAACTTCCAATACTCCGGTTACCAGCGGAGCGTCCTTGGTCACGCGTGCACATCGACTTCGCTGGCCCACTTAACGGAGTCTCCTACCTAATCTTGGTTGACACCTACTTGAAGTGGCCCGAGATTGCTCCGCTGAATCCAGCGACCGCATCTGCCATTATCGCTTTACTACGATGCATCTTTAGCCAACATGGTTTACCGGAAGTCCTGGTTTCAAAACTGGCTCTCAGTTTACTTCGTCTACGATTGAGGATTTCTGTCGTCAGCACAACATCCAGCATCTTTGCTTCCCACCCTACCATCCTCGGTCTAACAATAATAATAATAATAATAATTTTTATTAAATACCCGTCGAGGTCCCATCAAAGCAATAACCGTCAGGCGGAGCGTTTTGTCGATACTTTTAAGAGAGCCCTCTTGAATGCTCGTGGGTAGGGGACCACGGGCGAGATAGGACAGGCGTTCCTTTTTTCCTACAGGACAACACCGAACCAGGCGTCCCCTGGTGGCGTTTCTCCTGCCGAAGATTTGAGGGGCCGAAAATTGCGTATAACGTTTCATGCACTCGCTCCTACCGGTGTACAGCCCGTGCAGACTTCTCTAGTCTCTCGCAGCAAGCTTTTCGCCGGAACACCTATCTACGTTCGTGATCATAGAGCTGGGTTCCCAGACTGGATTGTGGCAACCGTAGTAGCGCACAGAGGCAGTATGTTGTTTGATGTCGACGTTGGTGATGGTATCTGGGTTTGTCACCACAACGAGATCCGACGGCGACATTTCAGTAACACAACCGGGCTCGAGTTGGTGCCGTCACTCTCTTGACATCCTACTGGATATCTTCGCCATTTCGGCAGATCGGTCGGTTCCCGAACCTACTGCTGCACCTCCTTCGGATGTACTGCCTTCGGTATCAGTCACTGCGCCGCGTCTTCAGACAACAAATCACGACTACGACGCTGGGATAACCGCGTGCACTGATCACCACTGCTGATGCAGATCAGTCCACGCCAAAGCGCTACTGACCTATTTGGAGGGGAGGTGTTGGGAGTGCCTACACTCCCAAAAACAAGACCCAACCAATCACTGGAGACCACGTGCGTTTACGCTCTCTACAGCGCTGTCATCTTAGTCGGGCGCCTCTCCACTTTCTAATCCCCTCTTCCCGAAGGTCTTTGGGCCGAATGCCGGCTAACTACAGTAGGTTCTTATAAATATGCGACACCTTTCATCTAGTCGCGACTTGCCGGGTTTTTCTAATACATTTTCCGTGGCCGGCCGCGTTTTCTTTGTCTGCTGCTTTGGTATCGGGACAGGGGTCGAGTGCGTATACGCGCCACGGGATTTCTAGCACCAGGCGGGTCATAACAACTTAAAATGTCGTTCGTGTGATTTCTTTTGCAAAAAAACATCCATGATGGTCAAAAAGACTAAATGGTCTCTTTTATGCGCATGTGGTTCGCAGTTTTGGATGAACAAATCCGAGTCCATCAACGCGAGTTTCGAGTTCGGTTGTAGTTGTGCTTGTTGTTTATGGAACTCCCTGAGATTACCAAACTTTTATCAAGGGATTATCCTTTAAAATCAAACAGTCCGAAATTAAACCACTATCTATTGACGTTCGCTAACTATTCGCTCAGTTAACATAAACGTACAATGACCGTCATGCGATTGCCTAGATGATCTTATCAAAAATGTAGTGTCATAACTTTAAACGTCCAAGCCTTAGATAGGCTCAGTGCTCCGTGTTCTTGTGGCGCCAACCTATGTGCATTTATGCAGCTTTCCATGTATTTCAGCTCTAACAGTTCATTTAGAAGATTACATACGCTGGTTTGAGCGCCCTGCATGTGGCCTAGAAATGATAATAGATAGAGAACTATAGTCTTGCCTCGGGGTGGCAAATGGTAACATAGAACCGGCCGAAGATCACAGCACAGAAGGGTGTCTCGTGGTGCTGAACCGTTCTTTGCCGACAGTTGAAGTCAATTGGCAAAGGAGCCCGAATTCACATGTCCCTCTCCTGATTTTCCAGGAACACCTCTTACAACCGAAAGGTTATGGTACCGCTTGTTTGGTGGTGATCTGACAAGGGACCTTACCAGCGTGTTATCTTCTATTTATTTCATGAAGAACTTATGCAATTAGGTAGTTTGTACTTATCAAGTCCTAAATCTACTCCAGGAACTAGTAACGTAAAATCACGTGGAACGTGAGAGCTTGAAAACGTATTCACTGAAAAGGGCATAAGGACGCAGTTTACTTGAATTTAGGCACCATTAAATATAAGAAAATATAATGTGTAAAGGTCTTTGCTGCTTCTTAGTGCTTTGATTTCATGGGTGATGCCTACTGTCACGGAAGCTTATACTACAGTACGTTTTCTTGATCAATGGGCTCAGAAAGAATTCCGGAACTATGACAAAGAAGTACTTTATTGTCGTTTTTTAAATGTATACTTATTCATTGAGCCGGCCAGCGACTATCCCAAGATTACCTAGCCTAGCTCCGAAGCTTCTTACCCATTTACGCTTCATGCATTAGGTCAGGAGAATAGGG